AGGAGCCCCTAGTAGCGTCCTTGCTCCTAGTAGCGATGCCAGGAGCCGCTAGTAGCGTCCTTACTCCTAGTAGCGATGCCAGGAGCCCCTAGTAGCGTCCTTGCTCCTAGTTTGCTCCTTCTATCGATCTTGCTCCTAGTAGTAAGGCCAGGAGCCCCTAGTAGCGTCCTTGCTAGTACTAGCGATGCAGGGAGCCCCCTAGTAGCGTCCTTGCTCCTACTCCTAGTAGCGTCCTTGCTCCTAGTAGCGATGCCAGGAGCCCCTAGTAGCGTCCTTGCTCCTAGTAGTGATGCCAGGAGCCCCTAGTAGCGTCCTTGCTCCTAGTAGCGATGCCAGGAGCCCCTAGCAGCGTCCTTGCTCCTAGTAGCGATGGCAGGAGCCCCTAGCGTCCTTGCTCCTAGTAGCGATGCCAGGAGCCCCTAGTAGCGTCCTTGCTCCTAGTAGCGATGTCAGGAGCCCCTAGTAGCGTCCTTGCTCCTAGTAGCGATGTCAGGAGCCCCGAGTAGCGTCCTTGCTCCTAGTAGCGATGCCATGCCAGGAGCCGCGTCCTTGCTCCTACTAGCGATGCCAGAAGCCCCTAGTAGCGTCCTTGCTCCTAATAGCGGTGCCAGGAGCCCCTATTAGCGTCCTGAGCCCCTAGTAGCGTCCTTGCTCCTAGTAGCGATGGCAGGAGCCCCGTCCTTGCTCCTAGTAGCGATGCCAGGAGCCCCTAGTAGCTAGCGTCCTTGCTCCTAGTAGCGATGCCAGGAGCCCCTAGTAGCGTCCTTGCTCGCTTCTTTCAAACTTTTATCCAGGGTTCGACCCCGTTGCAGTTCCCGGTCTCAGATGGTTTTGTATCGTCAGTTGACCCTCTGACATCGACCTTCTGCCAACATGATTGGCATTTGAGGTACCTCTTCAACATCCAAGACAGTGGGAACTTGCTGCTCATGTGGGTTCTGGTCTTGATGTTGATTCAGGAGCATCAGTTTGGTCTCTCGTGTGCATTTTCCTCGGGATCAGTGCAATTCTTCATTCCACAAGGAGCCAATCCTTCATTGCTTGGCCTACACCGAGCAATTTGGCCTATTTGCGACAACTTGTATGGAAGAGGGACGAAAGGAGAGTGTCAAGCCAAAGCAAAACGTATGAATCTCTTGAGCGAAACCATGTGTCATTTCTGTTTTCTTTCGTGCCCATCGTGGCCTTATTGAAAGGGTCCCTTGCGGTGGTTGCAGAGTAGATGGCACAGACCTCAAGATGTTCTTTACATGGGGGTTCGACATATAAACAATGTTTTGTGCCATCTACTCTCCATCCACTATGCATTCCTTGTTTGTTCTCTTCCTCCTTTTTCTTTTCCGAATTCAGTTTACACATGTCAATCACACACACAGGCAGTCGCGTTCAAACACGCAGGAGGCATATGCAGTTTTCTCTGGCCTGGGCATGCTCCTCTACTGGTTGCTCAGACGCCTTCCACGCTTCCGTGTGTGCGCGTGTGTGACCCAAGCGGGTGATTCTGGATTGTTTTGGTGCATTTTGGTGACATTCCGCCAGAGATGTTTGCGAACAAGTTGGGGTTATGATTTGAGGCTTCTATTGGTGAATTTCAGCATTTTCTCAATGCAGATCTCTGCGTTTGTACTGGTTTGTGGTCGGGTACTGGTGGAGGCCTCTTGACTGCAAAGCCTGGAGCAAGAACATCATTGGAATTCTTGTCATGGCATGTGTTACCTGCGTGGCCACGGGATTCGCAATCATTTGAATGCCACTACCACCACCACAAAGTGCTTGAGAATGTTTGAGAAGGAACCTGCCTGCGGGGCTGCTTGGCAAGGTCTTCCTTTTTCTGATGGCGTTCCTGTTCCTGATTGTGGCCTTCTCTACCGCCATTACGGCATTCCATCACTCGCTCTATGAATTCGCCAGTGTGGACAAGGGCATGGAGACCTTGCTCGAAATCACCTTAGGCACCTTGCCTCAGACAGTCGTGCCGAGCTGCTAGTGTGCAGCAAGTGCTAGAGTCTGCAGCCAGTGTTGGAGCTGCTGTCAGGTATGTACAACACGGAAAACTACAAGGCTATGCTCCACGAATCCGTTTGGGTGGAGATCCTTGGCCAGATGTTTTGATCTCAGATCTGATTTCTGCCAGATTGCAAGCCAGTGCCCTGACAGGATTGCCGTAATCATTTTCGTGATCTTGGTCTTTGTAGTGCTCCTGAACCTCCTGGTGGCCCAGTTGAATATGGCCTACAAGCTGGCGCATGCAGACATGCAAGGCTATGCACGACTCACTCGAGCCAGCATCATTGTCACCACCGTTGAGCAAGTCTCGCGTAAGCGATGGAGAAGGTTCCTCCAGACACTTGGCTGGTCAAATCTGTCTCACTGTTGAGAGTGTCTCAACTCACTCGGATTTCACTTTCTAGAGCGTGTATTTTTTGTTTTGATTGTGGTTTGCATTCCCCTTGTTGAGAAGGGTGTTGCAGACATGTGCATTGAGGAGCTTGAAGTTCGACCAGCGGCTTGAGTTCAATGAGGGTGACATTGGCGTTGCAGGCCATGTCCAGCTTGCACCTCTGACAGTTCTTTTTGGTGGAGCTTAGGAGCTTTGTGCAAGATTTGGACACCGACCCTACCACATGAAACAAGCCGGTAAAACCCGGCTCAAGGCTTAAGGCATTCCAAGATGAAAGCACTCCTTCAGAACAGACCACCCAGCCACTCCACAATTCAGTAAGATCATAAAGCTACGAAGCTGTCCTCTGTCATTCGCTCAGCGAACACAGCGCAAACCACCCGTGTTGAGGGTGAAGGCGTGGAGGATCCATTTTTTCGCCACTAGAAAATCCGGGGGGTGAAGGCTTCTTATAGAACTACGCTCTATGTATGCTAAATTGTTGGTTGCACCTCCTACTTCACAGAGAATTCAGGGTTTGGAGAAGTCTGATGTTATTCTCCGAGGTGAGTCAACACAAGGAGTTTGTTGGTTTCCAAGTGTTTGTGAGAACACGACACGTGGGCGGATGTGGACGTATGTTGACACTGTGTTCGTTTTGTGACGGCTCAAGTTGGGGTCAGAAAATAAATAAAACACTATAAAACATATTATGTGTCTACTGTATGTAAATTGTCTCTTTTGGTTTGCATTTGCTTGTGTTTTGCTTAATGAAAACCGCGGATCATCATACGTGCTAGAGCAGACAACACACCACTAGCACAGCACACCCCTTTGCACCAACAGTCATTCGGCGTTCCTGGCCTCTGACAGCGTCAGGACATATAGATGATTTGGCTTGTGTAAGGTCACAAATTGGAGGTCAAGACTTTTGTTTTTGGGTAAGCACGCCTGAGTTTACATGAGTTTATGATTATGCAATTCTCCGGTTGGGTCTATATATCTCCCCGATGATATCTAGAGAATCGTGAGCAAGAACCCCTCCCATATTGGATCCTCTATATGTGAAGGTACTGTGAATGAAAGTCAGCTTTGTCCCGAACCTCTCGCTCCCCCAGCGTTTGGTGCACTACAGGGGGTATTCAAGTCTATGAACCTTCAAATCTCAATCCCACCACGGTGGCTTGGCCGCACCATCGTCATGTTGTTGGAAAAACAATTGCCGCGCATTCATGTTAATTTCTTGACGACTTCCTTCTTATGAGCTCGATGGGCATGCATGCATGAGGTGGATTCGGTCAGGCGCTTTGGTGGCTCAACTGCTCCTGGCATGCCCTGGCCACAGGACCAAATCACGGCGTGCCATGTCATGACCACACAGAGGGCCGTCTTCTATGTTGTGCTCACAACGGCGATGCTGTATCACTGCTTAGCCGCCTCTGGTGGTGGCGTTTTGAATGTGTGGGTCATGAATGTGCCCAGGTTATATTCACAGCGCTTCGCGCTCGAAGCCACCCGCACGGAGAGTGTGCGTTTGTCTGTCTCGGTCTGTCTGTCTCAGTCTGTTTGTCTCGGTCTGTCTAATTTGTATCCATTGGAAAAGGACATCAAAAACACACGTTCTAGAGCCAATAATGGCCGCCCTCCCCCAAGCCAAAGATCTTCCAGTCTACCCGAGCCGACACAACGCGCCAGCACCTTCGGTGCGGGCGGATTTTCACCAGCTTCTGTTGTGGTAGTGCTTCCAGTGTGCTTCGTGTTTTCCGTCGACCTTTTGAGTAGTGTGCTTGAGTTGGCAGGATCCTTTAGCAGACGATCAGAGCGACGACCAGCTCGAAAAGCTGGCCCCTTGTCGCGACAGCTGTTTCATGAGGTGTGCCTTCAGACAGCCACCGCGAGCAATGGGCAACGGGGGAGTCATGCATTCTCTTTGCTTCACCTCGGGCACAGGGCAACCCCTACCCACCGAAGCCAATAGGAGCCCTGATTTCTGCAATTGAAACGGTTGCGTGTGATCCCTGTCAACAAAAAGAGCTGAGGAGAAGCTTGTGGTCAAAGCCATGAAGACCATCACCGACAAGAAGGGTGGATCGATGCCCACAGGTGCACAGCACTAGCAGTGGATGTTATTTTTTTTGTTTTATGGCATCATGGACAGGTGTGAATAACAGGGTGTTGGCAATTGAGAGTAATTCAGGCGAGTGCATATGTCCCAAATCTAGGCTCACTTGGCCCATAGGACAATAGGGACTGGGCTTATGAACGCACGAAACTATATAATCCCTCTGTTTCAGGCTATTCCGGTGCTTCTGGAATGCCTCAGAGTTCGCAAAGTGGTGCTAGCTCAGGAGGATCTGGGGCACCCTGGTTGCACTTTTGGAGAAAGATAGAGAGAGAGAGATAATAACACCATATATATATATATCAATATAGGCATTCAACTCCCCCCAGGAGCCCAGGAGTGTGTTACCCCACTGGCCAGCTGTGTGTCTTGACGTTAGCAAAGCCAAGGACGGGTCAAAGTGAGGAACTGCGTGAACCCTTCCGCAAAGCGGGGGTCATTGCAGAAGGATGTCAAGCCTGGTGTCATGTTGAAGCTGCCATCCTTTACAATTGCCAAATGTCTTGCTGCTGAGGGCAAGGCAGGTTGAAACAGTGTAGGCTTTGTGTTGACCTGTTTGTTCGTTCCGAACCCTCTTGTGCAACATATGTAGTTCGTCTGAGATAGATGGCCAGCTTCCTGCACCACCAGATGAACATGTTTGCAACATTTTGCACACGTCATGAAGCAACTATCAAAAATCCTACAAGGGATGCTTCATGCACAGCTGTCGCCCTGCCTGCTTTCAGGCACCTAAGCTGCACTTTGCATCGAGTACATTTCACAGCTAGAAGTGCATCTATATATAGTGATCAGGACAATGGGCGAATTGCAGATGCTGAAGTAAGGTGGCAACCCACAGCAATTTGCTAGTGATCTTTGGGGGCGCATGCGTTTTGCTCAAAGTGTGAAACGCCCCAGGATCAACTATGGAGAGCAGTGCCTGGAATTAATCCAGTCATACGAAAGTTGGTGGCTGGCTCACCAGAGAATTTGGTAAGGCTATTGTGCGCTGTGCGCGTCCTGAATGTAGATCCATCGATCCACTATATAGTAGCAATTCGCAATGGCCTCCAACCCAATAGCGATGGCCTCCAACCTAATAGCGATGGCCCCCAACCTAGTAGCAATGCGTGTGGAGACTCTTAATGACAACCTTGTTCTTCAACGTTCTCTCAGTGTTTTGTAATCGTTTGCCCGTTTTCTCTCCTGCGTTGCCCTCTCCATTTTCCTTCTCGAAACACCTGCTTGCACGAGTCTCGCCCCTCTCTCTGTGGCTTGTCCTTGGAGTCTTGCAGCAATTGTGAACCACTGCAACCATAACAGCGACATACAGCGACGACAACAGCATTACAGTATATATTCCTCTTCTCACTTCGGAGAGTTGTGCAGGTCTGCCCCAAGTATCCACTGGTCCATCTCCATCTCGCCTTATCAAAAAGAATTACTGTATCTTGAGTGTGCCAGTCTGCTTGGCCGCCTTGGCCCAATATTTTGGCACAGCAAGCCGCACGTTTCACGTTTTCAAGTTGCTGTGCCGCAAGCTCACTGTGGCCAAAGGACAGAGCCAACGTCTTCTGCAGTGCTACCGCGCTACAAGCCGGGCCAGCCAGATTCAGATGCCATATTGCTTATTTGGCAGGATTCTGCACAAAACCGGAAACAAAGCATCACAAAAGATCTGCACGTGTTGGCTCTTTGCTGTTTTTGGTCAGACTTCGTAGGACATTGCAAACACTCAGAGCATGTCATACGGTTGTTTCACAAATGCCACCAACAGCGTTTGTTGACAAAAGGCGACCGGTTGTCAGGACGCGATTTTGCTTTGCTCCTTCCACTGTGTGGAAGGTCAGTGATGGCTAGCGGCTAGTGAGTATGGCATGTTGCATTTGATCCCAGCTGTTCGCATATGTTCGCTATTGACTCATGTGTGCGTCTGATGGAGATATACCTGCATATGCGTTTGTTGGAGCTGCATCTCGGCTCTACACAAAATTGAATCGACGCGTCACACAGTTCAGGCCCAAGTTGCGTTGGTAGCTCTGTAAATTGACTCACTTGGGAGTGTTGAATTGCTTTGATTGCATCTGCCTCAGCCATTGGTTCAACATTGAAAGCCTTAAACCGTCAGCATGAAGAGCCGCGGCCGCGTTTGGGTTTTATGCATTGCCCTGCTCCTGGGACGAGCTTTTGTGCCTCCCATGGTTGAAACTTCCAGGGTCGAGACGCAGCGGCGTGCTATGTTCTTGGGTATGATGGCTGCATCAGTCCCTACACAAGCGAACGCGGACACGAAAAGCGCAGCAAACAAGCTGAAAGAGTGCGAGGCAGAAGTGAATCGTATCTTGGGAGGTCTGTCCACTTCGGCCTCAAATGTCCTCGCCATGACCCCCGCACAGGTTGGGGAAGTCAACACGAGGGGCCCTCCCAAAATGGGCAGCTTCGAATCCAGCGACGGACCCTGTTCCGCATCTGTCCTTCGGACAGCTGCTGAAGCTCTTGCCAAGTCACCTCCGTCAGGTTTGAACCGACAAGAGCGTGAGAAGCTGGAAGCTGGGCCGAAGCGAATTGTGGAAGCTCGCGAAGCCATTGTTGAAGCCAATAAGCAGAAGCAGGGAGCACGGCTCTTCGGTGCCGCTAAGAAATACATGGAAGCTACGAACTCACTTTTAGTAGCGGCTTCTTGAGATCTCACTGCTGACGGCTAAAATGCTCCGCTCAGCTCATCGAAAGGCTGGAAGACCAAGATAGCTTGGTCTACTACTGTATTCTAGATTTTTCTACAGTCGCATGCTCTTTGTCATTGCTCTCTACCCTTGGTCCGTGCTTTGCTGTTGGGGCCAAGGTCTGATCATGGAGGTCCAAACATCTTCAAGAGGCTGGAGTCTTTACCATTTCGAGCATACATCTATAGAACATAGAGCGATTTGTCCAAAAGTTGGGCAAGAACCCCCAGTCTGCCCTTATGCTTGTGACCTCAGAGCCTTGATTCTTGATGTCAAGATCCATCTCACACTCTGTGGTTCAATAGGCCCACTGGGCAACTGGATCTTCCATGCTCCGATCTTGTCGAGGCCTTCTTCGGGAGTTGCTGGACATCACGCCAGTTGCAGTTGAAGAGGCAAACTGGGTGGTGCAGGTGCACATAGCGTCAGAACCGCCTTTTCACTCGAAATAGGTGCTCTTCCACAGGTAGAAAGGGTACTGAGCATTCCTCATGCCATTTCTCATGGGCAGTGTGGGCTGAGGCCGTGAATGCTACGTGGCATGCTTGGGTGCAGCCTCGGTTGGCCACAAAGGCCTTGAGTGAGCTAGCTGCACGAAGGAAGGGTCAGGCCGGGACATGATTGTGTTAGATCATCCAAGCACCACGGCCCGAAACACAATGATCGCTTGATTTGCAGACTGCAGGTGGCGGCGCAGGTGTTGGCAGCTATGCAAAAAGGCAAGGAAGTTCTTGTGCTGCTGGGTTTGCAGGAGAGGGAGGTGGGGTGCTTTGAAGGTGCTGCGGAAACTTCCACATTTCACTACAACGCTGTGATGAACGCATGCTCTACAAGTAGTCTCTGGCAAACAGCCCTGGGCTTGCTGATGCCTGGCAACGAGTGATCAGTGATTTTCAACCTTGAGGTGATGATGGTGGCAGGCAGGTATGACACCTTAAGCACCAAGGACAAGGATGTCAAAGCACCGGGCGGATTGTGACATCATCAGCTTTAGCACGGCTATCTCCGCCTGCGAGGGCTCGAGCCAGTGGATACCAGCCTTGGAGCTCCTTGAGATGTCCTCAAAAGCCCGGCTGAGGCCGTTGTGAAGAGTCGCCTCCAACTGTGAGGAAGCATGGGAAACCCTGAAACAACACACCATAACAAGTAACAAGACTACATATATATATGCAAACATGAACCTACAGCATGATGCTACCTACAGGATGTCAAGTATTCACGGTCGGCTTATGTTTGTTGGCATTATGATCATTAGTCACCTACAGCGTGTAGGATATTCAAGGTTGGTTTATGCTTGTTGGCATTATGATCCTTGGGAACACTAATTCCCCAAACGGATTTATAAGTGAGGGGTTGATATTCACGGAGCAGGTTTACCTGTGAGGGGGGTTCTTACTCCTTCGCCAAGGTGCCCTGGCTGGTTGTAGGATTTTCCGCTTCTCGCTGTCTCTGGTTGCGCTGAATTGCTTGGGCACCCTCTTTTGTGCTGTCTCCTGCTGTCTTTGGGTGTGGTTCTCACACGTTGTGAAATGCAGAGCCGGTGGCGGGGCGAAGTTGCATGAGGGGGTCCCGGCGCCTAGCTGACTGGCTGCTCCTTCCGGCATTGGGAAGGCATGATGCCGTCTAGAGTCTAGTGAGGCGTTCCTTTGTGAGAGCCATGAGATGACTCATCGTGGTCATGTTCATGTTCAACAAGCCCCACCTTGATTGAATGCGCCATCACTGCATCCACGGCGGCACCTTGATGTGGAATGCCAGGCTCCCTGGACCTGCTGCAGCTAGGGGAGTTGCAACGTGTCGTGAATACCTGGGCCCACTTGGGTCAGCACGATTTCCTCACCACTCACTGAACATATGCCACCTGTATATACAGTACTTTGTAACGCCGCGATGAGCAATCCGAGAAGCTCTGGACGCATGACAGGGGGTTCACTCGGCAGAAAAGGTCCAGCTTCAGACATTGATTGAGGAATGCATTGGCTTGTATGGCATGACTGCTGGACAGACAACAGTACCTTCTTCATCCTTCTTCATTTGTCATCCTATCACACCCTTCCATCCTCCTGAGATGAGATGCTAACTCCATGATGGAGGCTCAAGTCATAGATCAACATGCAGCCAACTGGCTTTAGATGACGCAGTGCGCTGTCCTTTGTGCCGGCGAAATTTCACGACCCGTGCCCTGCCTATGACTTAGGTTTGTTCAACATTGACGTGAACCTTTTCTATCCTTTTCTGTTTGGCTTCCGCTCGCCAACCCCAAGAGCTGGAGCAGCCCGGCATTGCGGCACTTGCTGACGAGGGCGCTGGGCTGGTGGGATGTTTTCTGGCTTCCATGCCACGGGCCCAAATTCACACACATGCACTCGAAAACAAACGGCCACACTCTTCTGGGACACTTGTAGGTGCCCCCCAAAACTCATGCGCCAAGTCTCCAAAACGAGCGTTTCATAAAAGACTGCCTCCAAAACTCATACGTCAAGTCTCCGAGGTGAGTGTTTTGCACGGAGCACGAGACCTCCTGCAAAAGTCAAGCGTCAAGTCTGCAAAAGGGGCGTTTCGTACGAGCGTACAAGACTTTCTTCAAAAATGTAGCGGGGTCTCATCAGAGCGAACATACCAAGCAGCCCTGCCAAGCAGTTTTCGCAATCCCAGCCCTTCAAAACCACACCCGCTGACACACCTACATCCCATGGCACGGCGACGTTCACTTCCACCAACCGTCGCAACCTCACAATTCCCATGCTTGCCACTAAAATTCAACTTCGACACCTCCGACACGCACAAAGTACTGCGCTTGCCACGGCGAGTGACGACATGACATCTTCATGTCTTCAGCAAAATTGCACCACACCACACGTTTGGAATAATTTCTGAGCACACTCACATCCACCAAAATCACAATTTTAGCCTGAAACGCAAATCCCACTGTCACAGCGACACCCAACACCTCCAACAGACCACCCAAAAGCTCCCCCAACCGTTGCGCAACGTTGAGCGAACACAGTCTTACCCGCTGGACCCCCAAATGAAACATGCTACGCGTTCAGGAAAAACGATGCCTACAGTTTCCCGCAGCTACTTCCAGCTGTGCGAGGTTGTTCGGATGGCCTTTTTTGTGGTGTCCGGCGTCCGGCTGTTTTTGTTAGATGCGTCCATTCGATCAGCACAAGACCCTAGCTAAAACAACCGCCCGCTTTGACGTGCGCAAGCACAAGGGCAGATTTTCTTCCACTGCTTTTTCTTAAGTTGGTTGGTGCTGGAGCAATGGTGAAGGGTTTGAGGAGGACGACAGAAGACTGTGCTTGGAGGGTTGTGTGACGGGGGGAGCAAATTCAGAACTACATGATAGATTGGAAGGATGCATAAGCTGCACACCCAGAGGCAGAACATCGTCATTTACAACAGCACCATGAGTGCTTGTGCCAATGCTGGACGCTGGGACGTGGCGTTGCATTTGCTGGAGTCTTCGCGGCACATGAGGTTTTTACCAACGGTAGTCACTTATGGCGCAGCTATTTCTGCATGCGAGAAGGGCGGTGAATGGGAATTGGCGTGTTCCATTTTCCATTCTTCTTTGTCAGATGCTTGCACACCGAACACCATCACAATGGATTCCTGCATCAGTGCTGGTGAAAAGGCTGGGCAATGGCAGCTGGCCCTACAGGTCTTGGGATCGATGTGCAGCTTTCAAGTTGAAAAGGTTGATGTCAGTTGCAATGCTGCAATCAGCGCGTGTGAAAAGGCAGCGCGCTGGCAATTGACGGGTGTGATTCTTGGACACACGGCAGCAAATAATTGTGTTTCTCTCTCTCTCTCTCTCTCTTTGTGTTGTGCAACCTCCACCTTTTTGGGAAAGGCGACATGCAGCAAGCTGGTGTTGGAAGGGATTTCATCAGCTTTGACTCGTCGATCAGTGCGTGTGAGAAGGGGGAACAATGGAGCGCGGCGCTCCAACTCTTTAAAGACATGGGGGATGTCACTATCAAACGCATCGCCCCGTGGCAGCATCACAAGGTTCTCACGTTCTGCTGCATGCATGGGAAAGCTGGCACTAGTGATGCGGGTTGTGACCAGGCTGACGGATCACCGAAAATAGCACGGTGCGTTGCAACTACATTTGCGAGGATTCAATACCACGCAAACGCACCATGCTGCGTCCCGCGTTGCTATATATAAATGCCTCAGTGCCGGGTAGTAAGGATACTACTGCGTTTTCACAGGGCAGGGTTTCGAGTTCACAGTCTGCAGCACGTGCAGCGCCAACCCAAGCGCATTGCAAGCACGTTGAGAGGAGTTGAAAGGCGGAATTTACCTAGCTAAGGGCCGGTATGGTCTAGTGGGTTCAATCGCCGGGTGCAAAACGGGCCGGCGGGCCAGGCGACACCCATTCTCACAGGGATCAGCAAACCCCTCTCAGCACACAGTAGGCTGCCATGACCGAGGTCATCAGCTTCAACTCAGCTGTGAGTGCGTGCGAAAAGGGCCGTGAATGGCAGCGAGCGCTGCTTGTGCTGAAACGGCTGCCATTTGACGATCTCAGGCCAAGTGCATCTCAGCTGCAGAAAAGGGAGTGTCAACATGGTACAGGGAAGGGGCTGTCATGGACTGTCAACATGGCCTGCTGGGCACCATGGCTCTGCCCAGGTCATAAGCTTTAACTCTGCCATCAGTGCATGTGAAACCTCTGGCTACTGGCGGGCGGCGCTCCAATTGGTTCGTCTCATGATGTTCATTGAATTGACCCCCACTGCTGTGACCTGCAGTTCAGCCATCAGTGCCTGTGACAAGGGCGAACGGTGGAGGCTGAGCGCCATTCAGTTGAATGGAATGTGGGTGTTGAAAGTGAACGGGCAAGCAGCAAGGGCCGATGCAACACATTTTTTCTGAACTCCTACTAGGTGCCATCATTTGAGCAACCTGATTTATTTACGGAAAGCTATTTAGTAAAGGATCCGACATTGGGATTGCATAATTTGCATTTTGCTTGGAAAACGATAATACACTCATCAAAAAACGATAACATATTGATAGCATCATGTTTCGAGACCATCAGGGAACCTCGTTTCTGCTTAGTGTAGCCTTTCCCAAAGCCGTTTTTGACCTCGGACTTTGGCGACAGGTTTGTCCGAAATGTAGCTGTAGTCAAACGGTAACCTAAACGATAACCAAACAATAACGTAAATGTAGACGAACCTATGCTACGAAACCAGTGCCCCGCTTGTATCTGAAACTCATCTTCCAAACAAGCTCAAGACATGGCTGGTCTACTACTACTACTGCTGCTGCTGCTGCTACTACTACTACTACTACTGCATCTTCTACTACTACTGCCACTACTACACTACTACTGCTACTACTACTACTACCACCACTACCACCACCACAACCACTACCACAACCACGACGACGACGACTACTACTGCTAGTACTGCTCCTCCTCCTCGTGCTGCTGCTGCCGCCACTGCGACTGCCACTGCACTGCTACTGCTCCTACTGCCACTACCACTACTGCTGCTACTACTAGTACTACAAGTACCACTACTACTGCTACGACTACTACCACTACTACTGCCACTAGTACTACTAGCACTACCACTACCAGTACCACTACCAGTACCACTACCACCACCACTACTACTACTACTACCACCACTACCACCACCACCACTACTACTACTACGACGACGACTACTACAACTACAACTACAACTGCAACAACAACAACAACTACTACTACTACTACTTCTACTTGTAATCCTACGACGGCTACTATTGTTATTGCTAGTGCTAGTGCTACTGCTACTGCTACTACTGCCCCCACCAAAAGGCGACAAGTCAAACACAATGCTAGTGCTGTGTGTAGCGATGCCACCATTGAAGGCGATACCCATGACCTTACCACACAGAAGTAGTTTTGACCGTCGCACGTCTGCTTCCATGTCCAAAAAGTCTGCCGCATTGTGAAAACAACCTGTAACATGAGTGAGGTTCAAAACGTGGAAAACGATAATACACTCACCAAATTGAAATGTGCAAGGCCCACACATAACAAAGAAACAGCGTCGCTCACTTGGGTTTGGAATGTCTACAGCAGGCATAGGCGATTGAAATCTAGATTGCAGCAGGTGTGTTATCAGAAGTTGTCCAGCTGACTTGCCAGGGGCCATCTAAGGAGTTGGGTCTTGGGCTTCCTGGATCTTTGGCACAAGGAGGGCAAAGTCAATGATATCACTTGCACCGCTGCGGTCAGTGCAACTGTGGATGTCAAGTACCGGCTTTTCTTTTAGTTGACCTCGATGCCCACTTTGCATTGTCATGACGTCCACTTCAGCTGAGTTTGTTGTGTTCCAAGACAAAATCGCCATGAATCTTCTGAGGCATGCACCACGGGCGGTCTTTGGAAACAAGCCTTGAGAGTTTTAAGCTCAGCAAGATCGGCCGCCATGCACCGGCTGGCAGGTCTCACCGCTCTTCACTTCTAGCAGAAGCTTGAAGCTTGATGCTAGACAGGTCTGGCTGCAGCAGCCAAGTCTGCCAAAATGCAGCCCAAGCTTTGTTGAATTTTCGTTTTACTGCAGCATGCTGCCTTAAGCTGAAGCTTGCGGTTCCGCAAGTATATATGACTACTGTAATTTCGATTCCTGTAGATCAAAATCCCTTGGTGAGAGGAGCTTTCTTTTAGAGGACAGATGTGCTGAGGAAAATTTGGCAGACCAAGCATTGGCACTGCTACACTGCTAGACTGCCAGAACAGACAAAACCCAGTTATAGTACCCCTCAATGCGATATCTTGCAGAAGCGGAACGTGACCTGTAGATTTGGTTTCCTGCGAGGGCAGACCAAATTTTTGTAGTCACAACCTGGGAAAGTAGCGGGGCACACTATTGCCTGATGGAATGGTGCTGAAAGAGCTACATGGAGTTCATCCCGCCTCCAACTGGGCTGATACAAGCATTGTTGGAATTGAAGCCACCAGCAACTCTGATAGAAAAACATGTGTGAGTCATTCGTTGGCGAACCGGTGGCATGTTGCATGTTATTCACGTTAATCCTTCCTTGAACGTCAGGTAGACCAGGAAGATGTCCGCCAATTGTTGGAGCCACGCGTGGCGGACCTGCTGCTCGAACGCAGCGCAAGATGAGAATGTCGGTTGATGGTGGTGCGTTGTTTTCAGGCTTGTGTGTGCGTGTCACTTTTTGGTGAAGATGTTCGGGCCAGGCAAGCATATTGTTGCTCAGGCACAAGCGCCCCGATTTGTCTACGCATGTGTTGCGAAGTTTAGCACGAAGAAGGCGCCATGACTTATCACAACAAATGCTCCAAGCCATGGCCAGCGCTCAGCTCGAGGCGGAGATTTCGCGCTCGTGTCAATGTCCGCGCCGTATGTCCCTTTTTAGCTAGGACCGCTAGGGCCGCTAGGGATAGATCA